TTCCCATCTGCAAAGTTTCTTGGTAAAATTTCCAGTCTTCAAATGGTTTTGGTTTTAAACGATATTTCCATATGTTTTTTTTGTTTTGTTTTTTTTCTCTCCAATCTGCTGTTTTACTTCTTTTTGTACACATATATTTATGAATTTAATGTTCTTTTACAAGTGCACATTCATGAAATTTTGCTTTTGTTTATATCTTTAATTTTTTTTCTGCTGTAAATTTTTCTTCCAGTTAATATAAAAAAAAATAAGCAAAAAATAGAAAACTTATAAATACACAAATAGCACATTATCAAAATATATATGGAGCCAAAAAGAAAATAATATACCTTCTATAATTAAATGGGGAAATTATAAAAATAAAAAAAATGTATCCCCATATAATATTACCAATAGGAACTGTAAACTGTGTTTAGAAGAAAATTACCAATATTAATTTTTAATAATCAAATTAAATTGTTAAATAAGAATGAAATAATAGGCCAATAAATATAACATAATAAAATATTAATAATACACATACAGCATTAAATATTATAATTTAGTAATACAATTAAATTAATAACATAACTTCTATATAACCCTTATAAAAAAATTTACTTTAATTTCTGAGAATAAATTTGTGACTGGTAGAAAAATCTACAGGTGAAAAAATGAAAGACTTAAACCAAAGCAAAATTTCATGAATATGCATGTGTACAAAAGAGATTGAAAAAGGCAGAATGTCCTGAAGACTGGAGATTTTACCAAGAAACTTTGAAGATGGGATAAAATTGATATTTAAGTTAAGTAATTTTTTCATATAATTTTATTAACTCTCTATTTTTTTAAATTATTTTAATATTTTTAAAACTGAGCACTATATATATAAAAATATCTGCTGTTTCTTAAAGCTTATATATATATATATATATATATATATACACACACACACATTATATGAAAAGATTACTTAACTTTGTAAATATCAATTTTTATCCAAACATCAATGTTCATAGTAAAATTTCTATTCATCAAGGGGTAGTGATTTTGAACAGTATTTTCATTTTTTTTTTTTATGCACATATATATATATATATATATAAGCTGCCCTATTTGGTGGCATTTAATCTAGCTTCTCCAGGGTGCTCATGATTGGGCCTCAGCCCAACAATCTCTCATACATACATACATATATATATTGGTTATACAGATATGAAACAAAGATATCCACCAGCAAAGATAATATTTTTGTTATTTTGAGCGAGAAAAAATGTCACAAAATGATAAGTCAAGATGATGTCAAAATAGGATCGTAAATAAGTTCAAGATGATGTCATACCATATGATGAACCAATGTCTAGATGCATGTAATGTGTTGTGACTAGTTTGAAATGTAATTTTGTTATATATGGCTTGCTTATATTTCGTGTGGATGGTCTATATATAGGTTCTTTATATATATGTGTGTATGTGTATTATTGTTTTATATATATAATATATATTAATATATATATATATATATATATATATATATATATATATATATATATTATATATATATATATATATATATATATATATATATATATATATATATATATATATATATATATTAGCCTAAAAGCTGCCTTATTTGGTGGCATTTAAGCTTAGCTCCTCCAGAGGGCTCTTGAGCATGTATTAAATTTTATTAAACTTGAACAATATTTTTCAAACAAGTTTTCATCAAAAGAATGATAGAATTTGTCTATTTATAACTTATTGCAAAACTATATGATAAACAGCATTTTGAGGGTCAGTATAAAATAGCTTGATCCCATTTTCAGCTCTTGAAAAACCAACATAAAGCTGGCTGTGAGAAAAGCTCGATTCCATCAGATAAAGTCCAGTTACTTTCACTGATTGTCCTTGGGACTTAGTGATTGACATTACTTAGCTCATTCTCACTGGAAACTGAACCTCAAAGGAAGATCTGGAGGAATTATGGGGATCCTTGGAATTAAAACTCTTTCTTCCTTTCCTGGAACAGTAAGAATCTTTGCTTCCAAGAGATGAAAAGCATCTTCTTGACAATTAACCTTCTTCCTTTACAAAGCTTTAGAGGATCTAGATTTTTCATAACTGTCACATTTTCTTTTAGTTCCATCGTGTGTGATGGAATTCCAGGAGGATTCAATGAGTTTAGGAACTTATTGGATAATTTCCTGTTTGCTCTTGTTAAACCACAGTGTCAGTGGAAAAGTACTTTGTGCTTTCTTTTGGAATTTTTGGAATTTCTCCACAGTTTGATTTCTGGGCTAATATGGTGATCTCACAAAGCCAGTTTGAATCTTTCAAATGGTTTTTAATGTTTGGATAAGAAAGTTAGAGAGTTGTGTCCCTTTAAATGAAAAAGTGTGATGCATACAGACATTTTCACATTTATTATATAAGGTATGCTATATTTATGGGTTAAAGTGATCAATATTAGGGATAGAGCATATGTAAATATAAAAGTGGACATTGAAGTAAACACCCAGTGGTGACAGTCTGTTTCATCCTTATACACAATTGATTGCATATAAGCATTACAGAGACTGTCACTGCTGGGTATTGACTTCAGTGGCCACAAGGTTAAATATTTCCAGTTTATTGTGTTATCTTTATAGTGGGTAGGCACGGATGGTTATATTTTAAATTATTTTAAATGATAGAAATAATTATGTGCCATAATGTATAGGGTTGTTTATTAAATTTTAAGTTATTATTTATTATTGATTACTTTATGGTATTTTGTATTCATCAATTATCTGATATTGATTATTATCAAATTTATGTTGTTGTCGTTATGCGTGTACTCATACAATTTGTCAATTTGTTTGTTTAATTATTTATTTTGGAGGGGGGTTTGTTATCTTATTTGTTTAGTTTAATGCATTGCCCACAATTATTTCTACTCAAAAGGCTTTAAAATAATTTAAAATCTAACCATTCACACCTAGCCACTAACCATTAGGATAACACAACAGACCGGCAATACCTGATCATAATACACTTAATGCTTCATTGACCAGAATATGTAGTTGAGCTACCACTCAACACAAATGGCCTGAAGGGTGTGTTCAAGCAGGAAACACTGTTGCCACTAGGTGTTGATATCAGTGCCCACTTTTATTTACATACACTCTATCCTTGATATTGACCACATTTGCACATAAAATATAAGAACTAAAATAAACTTATTTTTATCATATTTTATATATACTGTATTTGACGGCATGTAAAGTGTACTTTTTTTTTTTTCTTTTACTAAAAATACCTTTTAAAATTCCCGTGTCTTATATTCCATGTGTAGGCATGTGTAGGTTTACTAATTTTACTAATTAGTAATTTTTTCTTGATTTGCCCTGCTGAAATTGTGGTGTGTCTTATACACCATCAAATAAATATATATATATATATATATATATATATATATATGCATGTTTCATTGAATATGACAGACAAGGTGCTTTGATTTAGTTTTTTTTATACAATTTTTCATGTGATCGAATAATTTTTTCTTTTCAGTAGATAAATTATATAAAAACTGTCCAATTGTTCTTTTTTCCAAGCACTTTCGACTATACCTTTAGCCATTCTCAAGGTTGAAATATATTAACTTTTAACAAAAAATAGATTGTTGTATATATGTATTTATATAATGTTTTCATTTTCAAAACATGGTCAAGATATTGTGTCCATGTTCATAGTTGACATTATTGAGTTATGGTACTTTTGTTTTTATTAATGAGGCTTCCATTATTATTTCACATGAGAAATTGTATACAAAAGTAAATCAAAGCACCTTGTCTGTCATATTCAATGAAACGTGCATGAAAGGAGGATTGTTGCCTAAATACACAAATATATATAATAAATGCGAATGTCAGTGTGTCACATTTTTCAATTAAAGGGACACAACTCTTTAACTTTCAATAGCTCATGCTACAACTCTTTAACTTTCAATAGCTCATGCTACAGAAATTTTGGATTCCAAAGTTTTCATTACTGTGATTGTTTTGGGGTATTTTTTTTTTTTTTTACATGGTTTTTTTTGTGATATTTTTTTTGTACAATAACAACTTTTATAACTTAGAAATAAATTTAGGAATAATCAAAATTAATTAAATCCAGCAAAAGTCATCCATGAAGTAAAAATAATTGCTTGTACGGAAAGTAATGACCTACGCACATCATATTGACTTTAAATTAAGTGGTGACAGAAGAATTATCATTGAATTTTTAAAAGCGAAGCTTAAATATTAATGCATACTCAAATGCAGCAATCAATTTTGAGTTCTTCTGTAGTTTATTGTTGCCTATCACATATGGCAACAGTATGCCTCTCAAAAAAGAAATCTCCCCCAACAGAGGACCAGATTGCAATCATAAGAACCAAGGCTGCAGTGAGGAAAACAAAGTCCCATGCAAATGAAAATCGAGATCAAACAGCAGCCAGGAGAGCTCCCAATGCTGAGAATATGCAAAGACTTAGAGACTCTGAAACCCCTGAACAAGCGGCAGACACAATCAAGAGCCCTCCACAGGAGTTAGGTTAAATTGCACCTCTTAAGAAAGGGAGATACATATTGTATGCATCTCTGTGTATCTGCATATAATAAAAAATACACTGGAATAACGAAAGTCATGGGATAACAGGGCAAAGATATGAATATTTAACGTTATAATTTTAATGCAATAAAAACTGAAAAACAATCTACATATTTATTTTAAATTAAAAAGAAACATGTTCTCTAAGATGACCTATGGTAACAAAAATATTTATGTCCGTACAATAATTGCAGTTTGTTATTTATGAATAAAACAATTTGTTAATGTAGTTATTATTGTTGTTGCTGTTTGTTTTATATGCAGATATTGTTCACTGGAACGCTTCCTCAGTCATGTCTATTCTGGGGACATAGAAAGTTTCGGGCCTCATTGACATCAGAACTTTCTCACATGGGTTCATCTGAGAGTGACCATTTGTCAAATAGCATTCTGGCATAGCATCTCCATAGATTGTAATGATATTTGTGCCTATTCAAATGACATCCTTTTATTCAGTAGATTGAGAAAATTTTAAATTCTTTCCAATTGATTTTGCAAATATATTTAAGACATTAATTGATTGTGTATTACCATTTTTCTTTCCAGATGATCTGAACACTCGAGTGGAAGCTCTTGTGAATGGTCGATGGTAAGTAACTACCTTCTGTTTTCTTTTCTGCTGTTATTTATAACCTTAATTTGTAACTAGTTGAATGGTTAAGCAAATCTTTGATGTCTTTTAGAAGAAAATTAGTTTTTCCAAAAGTCTGCTAGTTAACTGTTGTAGCATACCTATGGACGATAATGGGTATGTCTCCATTCACATAAATAGAGTAGTAAATACTGTATGTTGGTCTGCAGTTGGAGTTTCATTGTGGAATTCACTTGACTCACTTCTAGCAGTTGACTATTTCTATGTGCTTCTGGCGAATCTTATATGTGTTGTTCGTGTCCTAAGTATTATCATTCATTACCAACCTTCGTGTGATTATTCCTTCCCTAGGTTACTACAGGGAATTTTGAACTGAACTCTTTATTTAATTTATGGGTGTGGACTGTTCTTGTTCCATTGCTCATGTTTAGAGATATTGTCTAGTGCTTATCTTTATTTAGTACTGCTCAGTTCTTGCTCCCCGTTTGCAGTGAGTGCAAGTACACACTGTCCAACGCAGGGATTGAACTCACTATCATGAAATTCATAAACCAATGCTTTAATCCTCTAGGCCATTGTCCTATAGGGCAATAAGAACTAGATGTAATATCCCTAGACACGAACAGTGGAATAAGAACAGTCTACTTCCGTAGATTAAATAAAGGGTTCAGTTCAGAATTTCCTGTAGGTTACCCAGATCGATATACACTTAAGGAAGGCCAGAGGGCACAATAGCTGAAATATGATAATGAGAAAGTTGAGGATGATAGTCTGAATATAAATAGTGCAAATAGTAAATCTTACTTTTTTATTTATTATTTTTACTACCATATTTTTTAATGCTATATTTTAATGCCATATTTTTTTTCATGGGAAATCGTGACTCTCAGCAGTCTCCTGTTTTTATTATCTGTGAATTGCCAAGAACTCTATGGAAAGATAGTGGAGTAGTTTCCCCTTGTTTTCTCAATAGTTTGGTATTCAGTTTGCCTTCTAAAACTGGGTGCCATCCAAGGCGATAGAGTGCCTTCTACTCTGTTTAACCCATAGCTGGAGAGAGGAGAAAAGATATGTTTATGCCTTTCCCACAGATAATTTTATGAAACTGAATACAACTGATGAGCTCAGAATTTGAACTCAGTTTTCTGATTCTACTCTCCAAGCCAATATCAACAACATGTCCCTTTAACTGAATAGACTTTGGCCAATGTTTTGTTTACTAATCGTGTGTTTGATTTGGTTTTATACACCTTTTTGGATTTGAAAGTGAAGTCTTCTAGATTTTTGGCTTTTTAAAAAATTAATGTAATGTTTCATAAGCATATTTAAATGAATAGCTGTCTTGACTTTAGTCTTGCAAATATTTCAATCAAATCTTGACATCCACTCTTCAGTATATAAACTTTCATTTTGTTTGCTATAAGATAACATTAAACAAATTCTACTTATCATTATTTATTTATATTATTAGTGACTATAAATTATTAATCTTTATAATTCATATCCATTATAAGGTCTTTTACTATTCACATTGTTTTGACTGTTGTCCTCCTTTTTATTGTCATATTTACAACGTTATGGATGTTATACATTCCGGCCTTCTTCAGGTGATATACGTTAGAATTTTGAACTGAACCATTTATTTAGTTCACTGGGGTAGACTGTTCTAGTTCCACATGCCATACATTTTCTGGATATCTCAGTTTCAGTTAATTCCCTTTAGTAACTCAACTCTCCAAGATTTTGTTCACCTCTGTATTAACCAGGTATTGAACTCACAGCCATATGTCCCTGTGGATAAAACCGTTGGTTGAAGTAATCCAAAAAGTGACTTGACCCTAAAGAATTCAGTACCTGGCCACAAAATCTTGGAGATTTGAGTTACTAAAGGGAATTAACTGAAGACTAAGATGTCCAGAAAAGGCATGGAATGTGGAACTAGATCGATCTATCCTGAAATGTGAATATGACAATAAAGATGAGGACAACAGTTGGAACAATGTAAATAGTTATAATACCTCATCTCAAAAATATAGACAAATGTTGAATGTCTTTTATGTTTTGGTCTTTCTGAGTAGCTGAACCTAAAATAGTGTAGTTTTAAAGTGTAAATGCTAAATATTTTTTTTTAACCAATCATGGTTGATCTATTTGCTAGGTTTAGTGGGACAGTGATCAAAGTGAATGCTGATGAAGGCAAAGTGAAAGTGAAATTTGACACTTATCCTCGTGACAAATACGACAAGTGGTAAGTAAATTAAACGTTCCTTTATCTTGCTGTTGTTAAATCAATGTCTGGTGACAAGATGACAACATCTGGTGACAAGATAGTCAGATATAATAACTCTAGGGTTAATTAACGTTGCAATAATGATCATTGCTGTTGTGCTGTTTACATTTTGATTAACTTCATTGCAAAGATTCTTTTAACCTTTTAACCTTTGCTATGAAATTAACTTGGATGAAACAAGTCAAATGTTTAACATTTGCTGTTAACTTATATATTTACAAAGCCATTAACATACTTTTAGGTGTCTAATACAAGGGAAAGTCTTAATAATGGAAGGAGGTCAGAATTTTGTTCCATCAATGATTACGAGATGAGGGAGAACTAGTAATAGCTAATAATATCCCCATTTGATTATAGTCTGATTAAATTTAGTTTGAAACTCAAATTTCTGGTTGTGGTGGTGGTTGTTTATATATATATATATATATATATATATATATATATATTTGTAACATACTTGTTGACAACACAAACATAGTAGCATCATCTACATGTAAAAAAAGGCTAAAAATAATGGAACCCTTATTAATAGAAACAAAAAAATAACAACACTTAATAATATCAACTATGAACATGGACACAATATCTTGACCATGTTTGAAAAATGAAAACATTATATAAATACACACTTGCAACAAACTATTTCTTTTTTAACAGTTAAAATATTTAATCCTTGAAAATGGCTAAATGTATAACTGAAAGTGTTCGGAAAAAAATAACATTTAGACTGTTTTTATATAATTTATTTATTGAAAAGAAAATTATTAGATCACATGAGAAATTGTATAAAAAAACTAAATCAAGGCACCTTGTCTGTCATATTCAATGAAATGTGCATGAAAGAAGGATTGATGCCTAAATACACAAATATATATTATACATATATCATATATATATATATATATATATATATATATATATATATATATATATATGTGTGTGTGTGTTTCATTAAAAACAATTGACAGCTGCGTTTTTTTTAATTTAACTTTTCTTGTGTTCTTATAATTTTCTTCTTTCTGGATGTAATCTTTTTTAGCCATTATCAAGAATGACTTTTGTTTTGCAGAACATTTTGGACCATTTCTACATAAATGTGTTGGATTGAACACAAAAAAATTAAATAAAAAAATTTTTTATTTGATCATCTAAATTGTTCTCTTGTAATGTTTTTTTTTTTTTCATATTCTTTATTAATAATGCATTCTGGTAATAAAAAAAAAAACCAACATGAAAATAATGTCAACTATGAATGCAAAAAAAAATGTTTTATTGTGTTGACTGTCACTGTTTTGGAAAATCTTCAAAAAACTAAATTCCTATAACTCTGTCTTACATACTAAAACAATCCATACATTCAGTTAAATTAAAAAAAAAATTTTCCTTGATGTTTATGCCTATTTAGTAAAAAAACAGTTGGTTATGCAGAACATTTGGACCATGTTTATACATAATTTACTGTTCCCTGTTTTAAAAGAAGAAAATTTTAAGAACACATGTTTTAAAAAAAATTTTCCTGTAAATGTAAAAAAATTTTCTGCAGTTTTGGATCACTGCTTAAACGTTTCCCTGTTTTGTTTATTATTTCTAAACTTTTCCTTACATAATATTTTTTTTTCATATTCTTTCATACTCTAAACGTTTTTCCTGTTACACATCTTTTGCCTTATTTACTTAGTTTTCCTGTTACACATGTTTATGCCTTATTTTGTTTTTTCTGGTGAAAAGATAAAAAAATTAAACGTTTTTTTCTTTTTATTAAATTACTAAAACGTTTTTTTTCACATATTTATGCCTTATTTACAGAAGTGAATAGATTATCAAAAAAAATCTGTTTTTATTGTATGTTGACGTGTCACTGTTTTTACTAAACGTTTTATCTTCAATGTAAACGTTTTTCCCTGTTATTTATTTACTAAACGTTTTATTTACTAAACGTTTTTCCTGTTACACATGTTTATGCCTTATTTACTAAACGTTTTTCCTGTTACACATGTTTATGCCTTATTTACTAAACGTTTTTCCTGTTACATGTTTTAAACGTTTTTTCCTGTTACTTTTATTTATGTCTTATTTACTAAACGTTTTTTTTCCTGTTTATGCCTTGTTACACATGTTTATGCCTTATTAACTAAACGTTTTTCCTGTTACACATGTTTATGCATTACTTTAAAAAAGAATCATGACACCATATTTTAAAAAATATATTTACTTCCATTTATTTTTTGGAACTTGCTGAAAAATTATTTTTACTTAAAAGTATTGATAATCAACTCCTATTTACAATCTGACTATTGTTGTCATTATCACAATGTTTTAGCTGCTGTGACTTCTGGCCTTCATCAGATGTATATTGATTCGGGTAACGTAAAGGGAATTTTGAACTGATCTCTTTAAACTATGGGGTAGACTGTTCTCATTCTATGGATATCTTGTCTAGTTCTTATTTTTAGTACTGCTCAGTTATTGCTGAGTCCAAGTACACACTGCCCAGTCAAGGGATTGAACTCACAATTACTGTGTCACCAAATTCATGAATCAATTCTTTAATCCACTATGACATTGGACAATTCCCTGTGGAGAACTTGGAGCCTTAAACCTAACCTGCCTGCTGATGAGTGTTGCTGCTGCTTGACTGCACTCACTCTTTTGTTACAGCTGTTGTTTTCATTGAATACTTGCTGTCATTTGTCTTCCCTTCTTTATTAGCAGCACCCATAACATTTATTTCTATGCTAGGCCTACTAGGTAGGTCCTCATGGCTTAGCATATGCATTGATTCTTTCAGATGTCTAACTCTCCAGTGTTCTTCCTTGTCCAATATTTGCACTTCATTCTACAAGGGCTGATGACTATTCTTTTCCATACATGATCAACCATACCTGATCTCATTCTCTCCTCTCACTTTGGCTTTTCCAAGCTTACCATTGCTGTATAAGGGAGCTACTTGGATCAGTTCCACAAAGTGTACTCAGTTTCTAACATGGGATACATGAACATATCAAGTATATTATTCATTGATTTTCTTTTATTGTGTTTTTTGTGAATGTGTCTTTGTGGTAGTGTTGGTTTAGTGCAACAGATATTTCATTAGTGTCTTCCAGAAAATTGATAAATTCTCTTTGTTTATCTGCATATAAAAAAAAACATTTTATTTCCCAAAAAGGAAAACCTGGGAATCTTAAGAGGTAATCACCTTGGCACATCTATTTGATGATTATCTCTTTTAGGTTTTATAATGCTGTGTCAAACTGTTTTTCAGTTGCAGTTAACATCCTTAATAATGGTTAAAAGAATAGCCAAAAGTGCTCAGTGTCCACTTGTATATATCAGTGATAAAACAATCATTAGATGCTTAATGTGTGTCTATGTGTATATGGATAAAATAATAAAATCATCAAAAAGTAATTCTTTATTATATGAATAAATATTACTAACATTTGATGTTATGAGTTTTACAAATAGACTGATTGCAATAAAAAGGGGTGAAAAGACTTGTTGCAAATTTGCATAACTTCTTGAAGACCTAGAATAAATATATATATATATATATATCAATGATCAAAAAAACTATGTGGCAATGTATGTATATATATATATATATATATATCATGAGTGGCAAAAAACTATGTATGTATATATATATATATATATATATATATATATATATATATATATATATATATATAGTTTTTACCTCTCACTTGATTTTTTTACTCCATTTCAAATCTTTTTCTTGGTTAAATTGTATTTTTACATATCACTTGTGTAAATGATCATTTTAGTTTCAATTTGGTCACAAAATTTGAAGTGAGTGAAAAATGAATGTGATTTTAATATGTCAACCAATTAAAAAAAAAAAGTATGTTGCCTTAATTTTTGCAAGTTTCTCTTCTCTTCATTAAATTTGTGTATTACTTTCATTTCTGTTATATGAGATAGGAAAGCTGATAAGGTTGGTTTACAATTATACCAAAAGCGTTTAACTCTTTGGGTTAAAATGTTTTATTATTTTTGTGGCTTCAGATAACATTTGAATTGGAATGACAAAGCATTAACTGTATTCTTAGAATTTTTTTTTTTTTTTGGTGTGGGGGGGAAACATGTTAATGTCATTTCATAGCAAATTGTACCTTTCAATGCATTCATTACATATTGATAAAATAGTAACATTCATTTTCTTTTTCTTCTTTTTCTCTTTTTTTCTCTTTTCTGTTTTTCTTTTTCATTTTTCTTTTTTTTTCATTTTCCTTTTTTATCTTTTCTCTTTTTTTTTCTTTTCTCTTTTTTTTTCTTTTCTCTTTTTTTTTTCTTTTCTTTTTTTCTTTTCTCTTTATTTTTTCTTTTCTCTTTATTTTTTCTTTTCTCTTTTTTTTTCTTTTCTCTTTATTTTTTCTTTTCCTTTATCTCTTACTTTTTCTTTTTCTTCTCTTTCTCTTTTTTTCTTCTTATTAAGCTTTTGGGTTTCTTTTATTATTTTATTTTTTTGCTCTTTCTATATGTTTTTGTTCATTCTTTATTTTCATCTTTTCCTCCTTTTTATTTTTCACTTCATCTTTATCTTTTATACTGTCTTCATTGCCTTTTATTTCTTAACTCTTTCTTTTGTCTTTTTCTTTCATTGCATTTTCTTATCACTTTTTTCTTTTGCTCATTTTTCCTTTTTAGTTCTCTATCTTTATTTTTCCTTTGTTTTCTTTTTGTTTCCTTCCTAATTTTTTGACCTTCTGACACCAATTCATACTTTTCAACCATAAGAGTCATCTTCTTTGGAGAATTACTTAACCACCTTCACCAACACACCAGCAATATTTTTCTTATTTTCTCCTTTTAACCTTTATCCACTTTCTTCCCTGTTTTGGCTTCATCTTAAAAATAGGATAGATTAAGGATTTCCTCTTGTGTTTTTTTTTTAATTTTTTGACACTGAAGACAACCAGTCAATTTTACTACCATTTGGGAAAAGACCTGGTTATCTCTCACAAATGTACACAGGCCACAAAATAGAAATAGCTTATTAAAAAAAAAATATGAAAAAGAAAACAACTATTTTTTTTTCTAAATGTATCTCCACCCGCCACAGATTAATGGAGGGAGGGAGGGAGACCTGAAACAAAATGATCATTTTTTTTTTTTTTTGCTTTCCTCCCAAACTTTTTTTGTTTTGTTAAATTAATTCTGGCTAATCTTGGCTTTGTCTGTAATCTGGCTTTTTCAGCTGCATTTCCTCCTGAGGAAAGGGGATGAAAATATTCCAGCTCGAAAGGTTGCCAGAAAAACAATTTTTGTAGCAGGCTTTGTGCTATCAAGGCAGATATTTTACTTAATCAAGTTCCTTTGGCCTTCAGCAAAAATATTCTTGCCTGTCATGGTCACAAGTTTTTTTTTCTTTTTTTTTCCTTTCTTTCTTTGTTTTTCTCCAGCTACAATCATTTTGTTTTGTCATCTTGCTTCCGAATTATCTTTGCAATGTTTTTAAATGTGGAGAAATAAGTGCAAAGTTTGTGAGGGGAAGCGACATGAACTCAGATACGGAATAAGGAAATTTCTGCTGGAATTTCTGTGATGAGGAGGACTTAGCATTATTTACATTAGCTTCATCTTTGTTGTCATTATCACAGCATTTTGGCTGTTGTCTTGGATTACGGCCACCTCAGGTTGAAATGCTAGTTCCTGTACGATCACTGAAGTTAAGCAACACTGAGCTTGATCAGTGCCTAGATGGGTGACTGCTTGAGAATGCCATGTGCTGTACCCTTGGATTTGTGAATGGTATGTCTTATGGCTGTATCACATTTAAACTTCAGTTCCTGTATGATCACTGGTTAAGCAATGTTGATCCTGGTCAGTACCTACATGGGGGATTGCTTGGGAATACCAGGTACTGTAAACTTGGATGTGCAGGTGGTGTAATGCATAACAGTTCGGAATTGTTAATCAGAGAGCCGAGTTCCAGTTCCCATCAGGTTTGTTATATTCACTTACATGCAAAATACCCTCAGGAAAGGTATGAATCCACCTTTTCTCTCCCAGCCATGGGTTAATTAGTAAGACTTGTATCACTAAACCATTCTTATCTCAAACTGTTATGATGTTGATTTGGGGTTAGTAGAGACAAACGCCAAATAACACGTAACAATAAAAAGGGTTTTAATAGGTTGGTAAAAAGGTACAGAAATCGCCTGAGTAGTCAATAACTATCTCAGCTAAGAACTTCTCTGTCTATCTGTCTCTCTCCATGTCAACTGACATGCCACTATTTAAAGTCTTTGTTCGCAGACAAGTTCATCTTCAAGAGGGGTGGTAGGTTTCTGACATAACACAAACAAAAATTCTTACAATCTAAAAATATTTTCTGGCTTTAAATAACCTGCAAAGGGTTGATAATCTGTAGAAAATGAATGAATCAATCAATCCTACTGTCTTTATCTTTGTTGTTGTTCTCACAACATTTTGGCTGTTGTGCCCTCCATCTTTCATTGACGGCATAACAATTGGAATGTTGTGATAATAACAACAAAGGTAAGAATAATAGTATGAATGTAAATGATGTAAATCATGATAATTCTTCATACATTATGAAATGGACAAAGTCCGACAATTATTTAAGGCATTTTTATGTTTATACATTCTTTTGATAGATCAGATCCCCCACTTTATATCCGCATTATAATTTCTTTTTTGTTTATCAGTAAACAAATATAAATAATAATTAAATAATTGTCGGACTTTGTCCATTTCATAATGTGTGACGTCATTTGTTTACATTTGGATACGCTTTGAGCAGATATGAATGTACGTGAGAGATGGAAGATTGTAGTTTAAAAGCAGTAAAATCGACCTTGCTGATCAAACGATCCTCTGTGGCTCAATCGGTTAAGGCACGTCAAGCTATATGACAGTTCCGTATAGGATACAGGTTTGATTCCTGTTGGAGGACGAATATTTTCTATGAAAAATTCTTGGACATTCAAGCCGGTAAATGTTATTAATACTTTTTATTATAAACAGAGCATTTACTTAAATATTTGTATCTATAAGAATGTATAAACATAAAAATGTCTTAAATAATTCTTCATCCCAGAAATTCAAACAGAAATTTGTCTTAATTTGAACCTTGGTCACAATATTAATCTTACTCAGTTCAAAATAAGGTGATATTCCCTACCATGAAAGAATGCAGAAATTCAAAAAAGATATTGCAATAATAACAAAGATGAGGACAATAGTTTGCATTTAAATAATATAAATAAGGAAATTTAAATTTCTGACAAATTCAAAATGAAGATTTTTTTCCTTTGACATTCTATAAAATTCATTATTTTTAAGAAAATATTTACTTATCTATTTGAATTGCTAGGAAAACTTTGTTGATTTTGGAAAATATAAGAATAATCAATAACATTTACTGGGAATGAACTACTTTCAGGTGGATAGGAAAGGAATTAAGCAAGTACACAAAAATAAAAAGGGACATAAGAGAATGATATGGCTTCTTACCAGATTTATTTAACCTCTACAGCAAGAGACTCCTAAGATAACTAGAAGTCCTACCTAGATTTATTATTGGTGGACATAATCTTAATGACATGAGATATACAGATGACACTGTATTAACTTCTAAAGAATGCAATAAAGGAAAGCAGGAAGGAAGGACTAACTATCAATTGTAAGATAGAATATGTGATTGTCAGCAAGAGAAACGGCCCAAGATGGAAAAGACTATGGTGTTGACATACCTTCTAATGCATTTATTTCCCTAACCTATTATGTTTATATTTAAATTCATTTGAGGGCTAGGATAGAACACCTTCACATTAGATGGACAATAGTTTCCTTGTCATTTCTTTAAAAGCAACATTTTGAATTGCTTCCATTGATTAAAAATATTTACCTGGTAGGATCTTGTTGGCAGGTTTTGATCTTGAGTGGCTACAAGCATTTCATCTGATTCTGGTTTCAACCTAGGACTTCACAATCACTTGTTGTTAGGAGACTTCTTATCCCAAATGCTCAACTCATTTTTACAATTTTAAATCTAGTTGTCAATCTTGTTATTTTCCATGGACATATTATTAAGCTGTTTTCATTAAAAACACTGAAAGAAGAAATACAATATCAGAATGATATCAAAGTGAGAAATACAAGAGCAAAAGAAAGTATACCGATGTTTTATAGATGACACACAACCATATAAGGTTCATACATTTCAACTGCTAGACAATACAGTAAAGGAAAGCAGGAAGAAAGGACTAAATATCAATTGTAAGCAGATAGAATGTATGGTTGTCAGCAAGAGAAACAGTCCAAGATGCAAGTTATGAATTGGATATGCTAAAATCAAGCAAGTACAGAAATTTAAATATCTTTTTTTTTTTTTTTTTTAATCCACCCCAAGCAAGGCAATAATGTCACTAAGACACAAGAGGCTACTGGGAGTGAAAGAGAATTAAGACTTTAGAAAGAACCAGAAACCCAGTCCTAAACAAGAAAGAAGGGATAAACCTCTACTCCTGTTTAAAAGACCAGGGTGGATTGTGAAACAGATGATAGGCGAACCTATCTACTCCTGAGAAATAGATTAACAGATGATGGAAAATGTGGCACTGAACTCTGAAGGCACATTGGAATAGTGAAAGATGCCTTCCAAAAGCTAAACAAATTATTAAGAAACTGGTAAAAACAGTGCAAGCAGTAACAGATAAGAACTAGACAAGATATCTCTAGACATGGTCAGTGGAATGAGAACAATCTATCCACGTAGATAAAGGGCTCAGATCAAAATTCTCTGAAGGTTACCTGGATTGAAAAGAATGTGATGAAGGCCAGAGGGTACGATGACCGAAACATTGATAATAACAGTAAAGACTGTATTTTTCAGTGTACCCATGTCACTACTGAATGTGACATGAGGTTGAAATTTAGAATGGGTTTACTGGTAATACTGTGGAAAAATTGCCCAAGTCCTCTCGGCACTTCCCCTTTTGAGGATGTCTTAGACACTGGACAATAAACCCAGCCCTCACCCAAAGGATAAGTACTGGCTTGGGCTTAGAATTTTTTGAGCTTCCCCGATCCCTGAAAGAGCCGAACAACAAAAATTAGTCCAATAGTCTGTATGTAAATGTAGTTATTGAAAGTTTTTCTTTCAGCTTTCTTTAGTTTTGCATTTGGAATTAGATGACAAAGAATAAATCTTTTGTTTTATTTATTTGTTTATATTTTTATTTTTAAATGATTTTTCTTTAAGGAATTAGACTTGTCATGATGGAAACTGATGAAGTCTCCAGTTGCTGTCATAACCTTGTCACATTATAGAACAATGTTTATTTCTTTAATCTGGTTGTTGGGCCAACTGAGAAATGGTATTGACATTTACCAGATGACTTGATTGCATGAATGGTGTTTATGTCTACCAGGCAGAAACTAATAAGTTCAATTTTGTTCAGTTTTCTTACAAAAAAAAAAAAAGTAGCATCTGTATAGAATTATTTGTTTCTATGTGTTTATATTTATTGTATGATGTACGGCTTTGGTGGGCCTAGATGTATTTGTTGTGCACACACACACACACATATATATATATATATATATATATATATATATATATATTCCCAAGAGGATAGAATACAGGTAGAACTCAATGTCAGTTAAAGAATATAATATAAAAGGCTCAAACACTAATATTCCATGGTTATAATTTATTACATTGGAATTGTAATCATGATCCAATTCATCAGACCTACAAATTCAAAAATAAATTCTTAAAATAAATATATATATATATATATATATATATATATATATATATATATATATATATATATATATATATATATAGAGAGAGAGAGAGATGAAGAAATATAGTTTTAAGGTGTGCTATATTTCTGGGATAAAGTGCTCAATATCAGAGATAGGCGTATGTAAATATAAATATGAAAGTGAATATTAAGTCAACATCAAATGTTATATAGTGTGTTTCATGCTGGACATTGCATCCAGCAGAAACAGCCTGTCATTTTCTGAGTGTTGATTAAATGTTCATATATATATATATATATATATATATATATATATATATATATATATATATATATATATATACAGGCAGAAGGAAAATTCTTTTGTGAGCTGCTATCGAATCTTATCAAAATATAAATCTACACACTGGTTTCTTTCCAATCTCACCTTTCCTGAAAGAATTACTACTTTCCCAAGCCAATATACACTACCACAAAAATGTTAAAAACATCAAAAGATAATGTTTAAATCCATGTTAAGGCATGTCGTATCCAACATTGGTTCTCTCTGCACAGGGGGTGCAGGTTCAAATCCTGTCAGAGAGTGCATATTTTTCTTTAATAAGATTTCTCAAATATTCAGGTGGGTAGATGAAAATAAATGTACTGATTAATAAATAGTGTCTTCTCAAAAAGAAAAAAAAAAAAAAAAACAAGAAATATGACTTTTTAACGGGAATTTTTTTTCTGCATGTTTATATGACTGATGAGGTCTAGTAGTTTTGGGCTAGTTGTCTGCCATGATTAGGGTTGTAGGCGGTTTGTAGAAGGCCTTTTTTGGAAACTGTATTCTTTGAGTATGCCTAAATTCCTATTTAAACTTAGTATATGGGAATTTATTTAAAAAATCTATTTTAACTTGGTCTTTTGGCATGCGTGTTGGTATTTAAACAAAGACACAAAAAGGCCATATCTCTAATGTAATTAATGGTATGTTCTGGTTCGTTGAAATTT